CCACATGATTAAGTGAGATGTTTAGCCAAATACCTAGACAACTGTGATCCAGTCAAATTGAGACATAAAATTAATCATCACATCAGGCAGTGCTCTTAAGCAATTGTTAATAGTTTTTCTCTTGTATTTTAGTGACTTTGGATTTTTTTAGAAGCCTGGGGTCAATTTTGATGTTCACTTTAACATTGCATTGGATATTAGAGAATGACTTACACTTAATAAAATTTATTCCAGACCTCTCATTTTGTTATTTCCCAATATTTTAATACCCCTAAGTATATATTTGTTTGTTCAATTGAATATTTGCATGAGTCATCTCAGATCCTTTTGGGAAAGAGGTAGGTAAATTAATCAAATAAAAGTAGAAAATTAGAGTTAGTATTAAAGCATAAATATGCACAACCTTTAAAAATGTTTATGTTTTAGAATTCCTCCTCTGTGTCCATTATTCCAAATATACATCTGAAGCACAGACATTTACACATAGTGGATACTTTTGGCCTTCCCTGACTTAGAGCTCAAGATACTAGAGAGTCCCAGACAGGAAGGAGGCTTTGGGTCTCAGAGTGAGTTAAGGATCACAATCAGGATTTATCTCTATGCAAGTGAACAAGAAAAATATAAACCATTGAACTGATATGTTTTGGTTAGTACCTTGATTCTGAAATTTCTAATGATAAGCCTGAACTTGTTAGGAATCAGTCATCAGCGCTATTCTGCTGTGCTAGTCAAAGTAGAGAGTTACAGAAGCATTGAATGCCCACCCCTCATATAGGGAACATGTTTAAAGAAAACTACAGTCTATTTATTAGATCTTATATTTTTTAAAAAATAACTTAGGAACTATCCCAGGAAGTGTCTTTATAAGTGAAATGAAATTTCTTAACTTACTGCCTAAGGCATGTACATCATATGTATCCAGGCATATCTTGGCAGCAGTTTTTTCTGAGGCAATATGAATGAATCAAAATAAATTAGATCAAAAATTCCTGAAAAACTAAAAGTATTTCCTGATCCTATAATATTTTAAATATATGAAAAGTCATAAATTAATGTTTTAACTACTTCCCTTTAGGCAAGTTTAAATATGGGTCATCAGCTATTTAGAATTTTTCATTGATCACTCCATTTTTGAAGATGTCAAAAATATAGATTCAGCACTATACTTTGAAAGACTAAAAATATCTGTCTTTGGATTTGTATATTTTTAACAGTGTTTTACCACCTCCATTTCAGAAATGCAATTTAGGCAAAGAATTAATCATTTTGAGGACAGAAGGGTAATTAACATGTGAGGAAACCAGTCTAAAGAAGTTAAGTGGTTATTCAAGGTTACTCAGGTAATTAGTGGCAAAGCCAAGACCAGAACCTGGCTTTTCAGCTTCTCAGTCTACAGGACTTTCATAATGGCATCTATATCTGTTGTACTTTAATTCTCTCCCTCTCTCTTTCTCTTTCTCTCTTTTTTTTTCTTTGGTGATTTTTTTTTTCATTGTAATAGTGCATATCTGTAGGATAGTTCTCTCTTTCCCATTTATTCTCTAGGCACCTGAGTTTCTTCATAAGTCACGTAAAGGACAATAATAATTCAAACTGTTACACTGTGGTTCTTTACTGTGGTGGAAAAAAATCAATAAATATAAAGGCCATGAGCAAGGAACTTGTGAAAAATTTGCAACTGTTGGAATTTTTCCCTTTGCATTTCCCAAACTACTCCTCAACAGAAACATGAGTTCATCTTTGTTATCTCATGGGATAGACTTAGTCATATAGATGGAGGATGGGTCAGAATAAAATTTGATATATTAAAAGAAAATAAGACTGGTGGATCAGTAGTTCAGTTCAGTTCAATCGCTCAGTTGTGTCCGACTCTTTGCGACCCCATGGACTGCAGCACGCCAGACTTCCCCGTCCATCACCAGCTCCTGGAGCTTACTCAAACTCATGTCCATTGAGTCGGTGATGCCATCAGTATTCACTATTGGATATCACAATTGTATATCACTATTGGATCAGTAGTTAGTCTCTTATTATTACTGATAAAAAAAAATAGGAACTACCACCTTTACGCTATAAAAATTAGAGTAAGCATAATAAGCCCTGCAGAAGTTGGCAAGTCAAAAAAACAAGTAGAAGTTTTGATGTCTATATCTCTAGGTGTATATGGAGGTAATGAGACTTTAATGACTTCATTGGGAAAAAGCAAGGTCATTCCATCCCTACTGGAATTCACTTACAGAGGGCCTCCTTTACTGGTGAGGGTGCCTCTCTTTGCATCTCATACTTTTAAAAATTCGCAATGAGTACTCAACTGTGGCAACACTTTGGGATAGGTTCCTCATATTTGTTCCTTTCATGACTTTCTCTCATTTTCCAGCCAACTTAGTTTCCTAAATTCTGTACCTTACTGTTCTTAGTAAGTCTGTAGTTTAGAGATCTGTTAATTCTACTTAGCATATACCCATTCTTTGATCAGTTAAATGTATTCAGATAATGATTTCACCATGCTTAACACTTGAAGAATTTTAGAACTATATCAGAATAACTGGGGAGCTTTTTCTACAAAAGTTTGCTGATCAGACCCGATGTAGCACCTTAATTGATTACATATAAAGACAAGGTATAATGGCAGTGGAGAACTTTGATTTATATTTTTGTTATGGTATTGAATTCCTTAAAAGTGCATCTCTTTCTGTGAATGCCTAGTAAGAAAGGAAAATAATATAATTATACCTTGACAAAGTTGCTAAGTAGGAAAAATTTGTCTTCCAGGATTCAAGAACCCGTAAATCTCTCAAATTCCTATTTTCATCCTCCCTAAATAAAACACCTTGTTATTTCTATCTCTCCCTAAAAAGTTTAAGTTCTTTATTTAGATGAATTGTCAAATGGTTCAATATCACAGGTTTTACCTTTATAAGTGATACTTTGATGCTAGCAATATTACTTGTTTTAAAATAAAGATTTAAAGTTAGCCTTATCCCATGAAATGTTGGGCATCAGCAGTTTCAGAATGGAGAAATAGAAGTTAATACATTCTTAATAGAGGGGAAAAAAATACTTATATTTCTCTTTTGTCAGAAATAGTGTAAGAGTGGACAAAATGATGTAGATCTGTCATATTTGATATTGCTATCTGGATTTGAATGTTTTGGTTACCAGTATTTAAACTTCTCTGTCATTTGCATTAGGAACAAATTTTTGGGAAATGAAGTTATCTGTTAACTTGTCAAAATTTCCAAGGCGCCTTCCTGGGAATTTTCAGCCTGCGGGGTTTTTCATATTGGAGTCATATTCTTTCTCATCCTCAAAGTCTCTCACATATCATTTAGCAACCATAAGTAATGAACTGCCATATGCAGTGAAATAGCTTCAACAAACAAGTAATGCCACAGGTTTGCCAGATTCTGACTTTCTGAAGTAAGTTCAGTCCAGTTCAGTCACTCAGTTGTGTCTGACCCTTTGCGACCCCATGAACCCCAGCAAGCCAGGCCTCCCTGTCCATCACGGATTCCTAGAGTTCACCCAAACTCATGTCCATTGAGTTGGTGATGCCATCCAACCATCTCATCCTCTGTCGTCCCCTTCTCCTCCTCCCCTCAATCTTTCCCAGTATCAGGGTCTTTTCAAATGAGTCAGCTCTTTGCATCAGGTGGTCAAAGTATTGGAGTTTCAGCTTCAGCATCAGTCCTTCCAATGAACACCCAGGACTGATTTCCTTTAGGATGGACTGGTTGGATCTCCTTGCAGTCCAAGGGACTCTCAAGAGTCTTCTCCAACACCACAGTGCAAAAGCATCAATTCTTTGGCGCTCAGCTTTCTTTATAGTCCAACTCTCACATCCATACATGACTAGATAGACTTTTGTTGACAAAGTAATGTCTCTGCTTTTTAATATGCTGTCTGGGTTGGTCATAATTTTCCTTCCAAGGAGTAAGTGTCTTTTAATTTTATGGCTGCAATCACCATCTGCAGTGATTTTGGAGCCCAAAAACATAAAGTCAGCCACTGTTTCCCCATCTATTTGCCTTGAAGTGATGGCACTGGATGCCATGATCTTAGTTTTTCTGAATGTTGAGCTTTAAGCCAACTTTTTCACTCTCCTCTTTCACTTTCATCAAGAGGCTCTTTAGTCCTTCTGAAGTAGGAGTAGTGCATAAACAGTAGCCTAAATCACAGTTTTAGACAGTAGATCCGTGTCAGTTTTAACAGTTATTCCCACTGTAGTGAATACTACCATGTTTTACTTCATTGCATTCACAGTCCTGATAGTTTCCAGACTTGGGTGATTTGATTTTGGACATGACTTTCAAAACCAGTTTCAAGTGGAAACATTTTTTCTGAATTGGTGTTCATCTGGAATTAAATGGACTTGTTTTGGGGATATTTATTTTAGAATTAGGATTTTTATTATACAGAGAGAAGTAAATATAAAAGTCATAGTGGAATGATGTTTCTATGTAGTGCTTTACATTAAAGTTTGTGAAAAATAATTCTGTATTTAAAAGCATAGGCTATTTACTTTACATATTAAGTTGTGTCAAAGTTTTTCCATTCATAAACTTAAAAAATATTTTAATTTGTGCACATGGTGACTTATTTCCATTATACTCTGTTTTTAAATGCTGAACAATTTTTTTTGTTTTTAAAATTATAGTTGAATGTAATGTTGTATGAGTCTGTTTACAACATATTGATTTGATATCAAGTCATATCAAGAAATGACTATCCCAATAAGTTTAGTTAATATCCATCCCTTTACATGGTTAGAATATCTACTATTTTAGAAACTTTCAAACACACAACCAAGTATTGAAAGTGTATTATATATTTTTAGTCTTTCTGAACAATAAATTTGAGTTTGTATTTATGATAAAATGAATGAATGTTAACTTCACAGTATTAATACATGTGAAAATAGAGCCATGAAAAAAAGTGTTATAAAGGTATTTGTATTTTCTCTGTGTTTAGGGTACATTTTGTTTTGCATTTCAGAGCTCTTGGATCTAAACAGAACATCGGTCTTTCATAGCCCTTTTGGATTTCTTAATCTCCAGACAATGCTGCTGGATGAATATCAAGAGAGACTCTTCGTGGGAGGCAAGGATCTTGTATATTCCCTCAGCTTAGAACACATCAGCAGTGGCTATAGAGAGGTATGAAAGAGTAAACTATATTTCAGGAGAGAAAGAAAAGGAGTAAGTGAGAAATCTTCTTGAATGGGTATTACTTGGATTAGATTTTTCATTGTCTTGACCACGTGAACATTCTGAGTGATAATATTATTGAAAGAAATGAAATATACATTAAAAATAAAATCATTTTGAGAAGATTTATAAATAATGCAGAATAAACTTTTCTAGCACACACACCACTGATCCCCAAATCCCCAGAAGACTTGTGATTGATGCATTGAAACTTTCTCTTGCCTAGTGGCCCTTGTACCACACCCACTCTCCTGACACCTAGGTTTGCATATTCTGATTTAAAGTCCCTTTGGGCTTTATTACTCCAAAAATCCCAGCCTGAAGAAATATGGATGTGTGAACTCAGTGTAGCTGACTCGTGTATTTCTGTTGGTAAGATCACTAATTCAGATGGATGCTCTTTAAACCTAAAGGATTAAAATATATTAAAATAGGCAAGCACTCAACTTTTTTGAGAAAGGTTAACTATAAGAAGAAAAATGGTCCTTATAATCTGTGCTTGTAGAGTTGAATTAATATGTTTCCAGAACTATATCAACCTTACATAAAACATTCAGATATATGTAAACTATAGCATTTTTTGGCATAAAGGTATATATTACATAATACATTTTCTTTATAATTTACTTGTATACTTTTATGTTTGTCAAAATGAACAATGTCCATATTTTTTAAAGTCATTTAAAAAAATTATCATAAAAAGCAGAACACCTTCATCCCATCCAATTCCTAATCTCTAGAGGAAATCATTTAAAGCTCTCGTTTTTTCTGGTTCTTATCTCCGTATGTCTAAGTGACATTTGTGTACTGTTCTTTCTTGATATCATTAGTTTTAGACAAAATCTGTTGACTTCCTGTAAAGGAAGATGAGGATTTTTGCTTCCTTTTCTTGCAGTGACATAGCTAAAATATCTGCACAATTTCAGCAGCAGCCCCTACTAATCTGCCCTGTCATCTTCCTATTATAGCTGTACCACAATTTTTAGCTAAGTGGTAACTATATGCATTACTATAATTAAGAAAATAGATCACACTTCTTCCCCCTCCCCCAGATTAAATTTTTTCTCTTTTTTTCATTTGCTTGGATTATTGTTGTGTAGTTACTAACTCGTGTCCAATTATTTTGTGACTCCATGGACTGTAGCCCACCAGGTTTCTCTGTCCATGAGATTTCCCAGGCATGAATACTGGAGTGAGTTGCCATTTCCTTCTCCAGGGGATCTTCCTGACGCAGGGATTGAACTCAGGTCTCCTGCACTGGCAGGCAGATTCCTTACCACTGAGCCACCAGGGAAGCCCAATATCTGTTACATAAAATAATAAATAATGTAAATATCTTAGAAGGTATAATAGTGAAATAAATACCTAGAACTCACCAGCCAACTCAAGAATGACATTATCACCATTCCCACTGTGCCTGCAGTTACCTTTTGTTTCCTCCCTCTTTTCCTCCTGTGTCTCCTACTGCCTAGAAACCATCACTATGATGGATTTTTGGTTTATTTATTTATTAATTTTAAATTTTAAAGAATTATTTTATCATAAGTGTTTCCCTATACAGTGTATTGTTTAGAGTTACTTGTTTTAAGCTATGTAAAAATGATACACAATAGTTTATTGTAGTCTTCTGGGGTTGCTTTTTTGTTTTGTTTTATTCAGTATTAGTTACTAGATTCAACTGTGTTACTTGTGACTGTACTTCCTTTGTTGTAGGGGTATGAAGATTGAATGAGGAACACAAGTTAGATTTTTAGTTTAAATCCTGGCTTTGCATTTGTAGTACTCGGCAAATTCCTTAATCCCTTTTTTCTTCTGCTTTCTCATTTGTTAAAGGGGACATATTAGGGTATTCACTGAAAAAAATCCGCATGTAAGTGGACCTTCACAGTTCGAACCCATGTTGTTCAAGGATCAACTATAACTATCAGAACTTGTACTATCATATACTCATTAGACTGATTTTTCCTGTGCAATTTTGAAATAGGTAAGAACTTACCTATCGCTGGGCTTTCCTGGTATCTCAGAAGGTAAAGAGTCTGCTTGCAATGCAAGTAGACCAAGGTTTGATCCCTGGATCAGAAAGATCCCCTGGAGAAAGCAATGGCTATCTACTCCAGTAATCTTATCTGGGAAATCCCATGGACAGGGGAGCCTGGTGGGCTATAATCTATCGGGTCACAAAGAGTCAGACATGACTGAGTGACTAACATTTTCACTACCATTTAGTAAATTTACTGTTAGTATTTTTAGATACTGACTTTGCTTTATAAATTAATTAATTCATAGCATTTCCCAGACTATGTAATACTTTCACCCTGAAATTCTGTTCTCTTGTATCTATGTCACATTCATAAAAGACCCTTGACCTTCACTCAAAAATGGAAGAGTCAATCCTGGTGGTAACACTGTAAAATTTCTACCCTTATTATTCCATTTGTTTTACCTCATGAGAACCTCCTACCTGCCAGAAAAAATTTCTTCTGCAGATTACGCTCTTGAAAAGTCTCTAAAATCCACAGATAACACCATACTTAAACTCTGATTTCATCAGGAACTTCCTAAGAAATTTATTTAAACTTTTTGTTTTTTTTCCTTTGCACTTTTGTCTTAAGTCTTTTGGTGCAAAATGATTTGGACTCAGCTAGAGGAAATCATTATTCGGGTGAAAATATTAAAGTATCTTGAGATTCTGATCATTATGTGACAATAGCAGTCACATAGTATAGATGAAGACTTGGAAAGAGAAAAACATGAGAAAGGTATGGCAACACACTCTGTTCTTGCCTGGAGAATCTCATGGACAGAGGAACCTGGTGGGCTGCAGTCCATGGGGTCGCAAAGAGTCAGACACAAACTGAAGCAACTGAGCACTTTATAAGACAATTAATTGAGTTATTAATTGCCTTGAACAATGCCAAAAATATGCACTGTTATCTAAGTATTTGCTATCATGGTTATTATCTAAACAAGGCACAGAATTAGCGCGTAATTCTTTTTTTTTTATTAGTTAGAGGCTAATTACTTTACAATATTGTAGTGCATGATTCTTGTGTGCTTCCATTTCTAAGTGAGGTATAGGAGTCCTACATATTAAAGACATTCAACTAAGTTCTAGAAATAGTCATGGAAATATGAAGTACGCAGAAATTAATAAAACAGTCCCTACCCTGAAATATTTCTAGCGCAATGGAGAAGATACATACACATCTGTCATAGATAGCACAATTTGAAGAGAACTATAATAAAGGTCCGAATAAAATACTAAGAAAATATGCATAAACTGAGAGTTGGGGTTTCCTGGAGGAGATATAATTTAAAAGTGGACTTTGAATAGTAGTTGGAATTTTGATTCACACAGTTTGGTAGTGAGGACAGGGGAGAAACTGAGAAATTTTAGAGCAACTTGAAGTAGTGGTTTGGCTGGAGTAGATAGGTGAGGTGAGGGCATGTGGGTGGGAACAGGGGAGATGGTAGTTAAGGGTGGAAATATGGCTTAGACCAGACCCTGAAGAACATTGGCTGCTGAGCTGGAGCCAGTGGGAGAGTCTGAGTACTTGTATGACATAACGAGAATGAGAGTTTAGGGTGATTGCTTTAGCAGCAGCGTTTTGGGTAAATGGAGAAAAGAGGAGAATAAGGCCATGAGGCCAGTAAGTAGCAATTAGAACTTAAAACCAAATTCATTTGTCTCAGAAGCCTAAGCTATTTCTACTACACCATTGAATTGAGAACCAGGCTGCTACTTTGGTGTGAACTGCGTCTCCCAAATTCGTCTTCAGCTTACCATTAGTTCTGCCTTTTGTTATCAGGCGTCTCTTTCCTCTTGGTCCTTACTGCCTTTGCATCACTAGTGCTTCCTTTAGTGATGGTTAATAGACTAGTGAAACAGTTGTTGGTGACAGAAGCAGAGGAAAACCAGTGACAAGAACAAGAAGGAGCTGTTTCCCCTTTGTTATTTTGTGGCAAAGTTGAGAGTCCAAGGAGGCTCTGGTATTCAAAGACAGCATAGGGACTAGCTTGTCTGTGTTCTGTTGATGTAGCCTCTTGCAATCTATGCACATTTGAGAATTACCAAGGCTTCCTGAAAAATAAAGTTATTTGGGGGGACATAGCAATACTATATAGTTCGACATATAAAATCTTCTTTTTTCATTTCATAAAGAAATCAAAAGTGGAAATGTTGGTTTATTTAAGCTGTATTTTATAGGACTTCATGTGCTGTGTTTAGTTGCTCAGTCATGCCCTACTCTTTGAGACAGGCTCCTCTGTCCATGGGGGTTCTCTAAGCAAGAATACTGGAATGGATTGCCGTGCCCTCCTCCAGGGATCTTCCCAACCCAGAGATTGAACCCAGGTCTCCCACATTACAGGCAGATTCTTTACCATCAGAGGCACCAGGGAAGACGTCATCGGATATTCCATATTTAATAATAAATATTGGCTTTAACTTTTACCCATGGCTTTTCTGTTTCTAAATTTCACCTTTTTTTAATTCTAAAATTATTCCTACCACTATTATTTAAAGCTAAAGTTACACTACTTAATTTGGGTATCTATAAATAAAGTTTAGTCACTTCTATTTGTAAAAATATTTATACTTTTCTCACTCAAGTTTATTGAATCAAAGGTGAAAAAAAATTCTTCCATTTTAGAACTTTTTTTAAAGTGGGAGAAAAGCATTAAAATATAATTTGCGTATAAAATGGCAAATGGTGTTTCACACTAATGATAGCAATTTAGTAAATTTCATCCATTAAAAAGGGCATTTGTTGTTCAGTCGCTAAATTATGTCTGATTCTTTGCGACCCCATGGATGGCAGCACCACCAGCTCCTCTATCCTCTGCTCTCTCCTGGAGCTTTGCTCAAATCCATGCCCATTGGCTCAGTGATGCTATCCAACCATCTCACCCTCTGCTGCCCCTTCTCCTTTTGGCTTCAATCTCTCCCAACATCAGAGTCTTACCAGGCCAGATATGTTTGTGTCATAATAATAGTGTTCTAATTCAAAAGCTTTTGATTATCAACATTTCAAGAACAAATTTTATCTGTAATGCAGAAGATAATAATTCTGGTTACAAAGTATTTGAATAATGACAGTCATTATAACTAATTATAAAAGGATAAACAGTAAGATGAAGTATGACAGGTTGAAACTACCACTTATAAACCATTAAGTCTCTTTTAATGTGTTATATTCAAAATATATTTTCTTGATTTTAATGACATTTGTAGGACCTTAAATTAAAATATGTCGATGGGCACTGGTACTACATATAGATGTAAAATATAGAAAGAAAAAACTAAAATATAAACAATATTTTTCATTAGAATAATAGAATTAGGAAGAGAATATTAGATGAAGTTATGATAGTGTCTTAGTCACTTAAATATATTCCAAGAGAGATTTACATTTACTGGATCATTTTATTTAATCTTTTTCAATAAAAAAGGAAATAATGTTTTTTAGACAGTTAAATTATTACTTTTTTGTTCATTTGTTTTTGCTCTCCAGAATCTCTGAGTGTTCTAACATCATATAACAATAGAATTGTTAAATTCTTAATCCTGGTATAATTAGGAGGTTCAATAGGGAGTCCAGAAAAGAATACTTTGTAATTTAATTTTTATTTTATTTTTCTCCTTTGAGCTATACAAGAGTAGTAAATGGCCTGTTAAAATGCTTTAGAACAATTAAATTATATAGTAGGAATATTGTGATGAAATCATGTGTATTTAACCTTTTGCTTTTTGTACCTTTCTTGGTGCAGAGAATTTGGAAATGTCATTACACCCTGTTGTTTAACTGCCTTTAAAAATGTTTTATGCAGAACAGATAGCTTAATTTTATGACTTTTTGTTGATGCTATACTTTGGAGCAGAACCAAAAGGCATCCTGACTGCCAAAACAAATGAAGAAAATTATTTCCCTTACTGTCTTGGCAGAACATCTGTACATGATGGCTTTAAAATAACTTATGATTTTCAGTGAGATCATTCTCTTATCTTTTCTCACCTGAGTGGACATTTGAATACAGTCCTGAGCCTGTTAAATTGTGTTAAAAAAAAAAAAAAAACCAAAGCAAACTAAAGTATGAACAACAAGAAAAGCAAAACTCAAGTGTATTATTCCTTAGGGGAGTTCTGATGTGTTGGACTTTAGTGGTTAAGTGTTCATAACTTAATCCTCTACTTCTTTCCCTCTGTGAACCCAGAGTGATCTGGTTAAGACCGTTTCCTCTGCCCTCGGAAATCCTGCCAGTCTTTCACACTCACTAAACTCTGTAGGATTTCCTCCCTGATTAAACTGGAAAGTGCTGCTTGTCTCATTTACTTGACACTGATTGCAGCATTTTCATGTCAGTGATCTCTCTCTTAAACTGTATTGTAGGATCCTTTAGTGAACTGACTTTTTGAAGAATGTGATAAAGAAGTGTTGACTGATACAAATCTGTCAGTACCCAATGAATAAGCAGTGATGGCATTAAAGACCCTGTGCCAGGTAGGCATTTTAGGGCTACAGCAGTAAGTCGCAGGCTTGCCCTCTTCCAGCCTAACAAGAGAGCTAAAATTGAATACACATACTGTGATATCATAGGAAGAAAAAGTAAGAAAAACAATTCAGAGCATTAAAGGAGGGACAAATGCCATCTGTTGAAAGTTATCTGGGAACATCATTTAAGATGTGCCTGAAGTAATGATTTCATTATTCCTAGATCTGTCGTCACTATTAGGTTCACTGTTAGAAATAACACATTCTGGCAATCCTAGAAGAACCATGTATTGTCTTCACCACCACAGAATATATTATTTTTTTGTTTGTGTCAAGAACTGTGAATTTTACCTTGCTAGGCAAGTCAGCCTGTCATAGTTTCATTGATGCTGGCAGAAGACAGGAGGCACCTGGGCTGGAGACAGAGGACTGTCACTCCCAGAACAGCAGACTCCATGAGCCTCATGTTTCCATCCATTGTCTTTTCCTCCTTAAGTCCCACAAAGCAAAGCAGCCTAAAGAGATGTTGGATACACAGTGAATATATGTTGCACCCACTTTACCAACTTCCAGCTCAGAATACTCTCAGTCTTAAAAGGAGTCTTCTAGCAAACCTGTCCAGCCTTTGCCCGGAGGGAGACGTTCTCTTTATTATCCTGATCAAGAAAAAAATCTATTTGCCCTGGAGGGAGGATCTATCTCTGTCTTCCAAGGCTGTTTGAAAAGATAGCTGAAAACAAAATTAGTCAAAATAATATAGGAATTCTCTAGAGAACTGCTCCCCCAAAACAGTGTGTTCAAATAATCCCAGAAATAACCCACATGAAGCCAATGATTGAGGAGAAGGAGGTAGTAAATTGAGGTTATTCTCTTGTCTGGATACTGTTTCAACATTGAAAAGCTGAACTTTGGTATTTTTCTCCAAAGAATTGGTTATCAAATACTTTGAAATTGTAGAAATATAGTTTAAATAAGTCTCATTTTACATAATGATGAAAAGTGAATAAAAAAGGGTGTTAATATTATAAGAAGAAAAGCCCTGCTTCTTGTAATTTAAGATGTTAAGAATGTTAATCATTATGATTGACAGGTGAGGTATTCTCTGATTTACTCATATTAATAAGCAAATTATCTTTCCAGTGATGAATAATCCTAAAATTAATTTGTATTTTGAGTCTGTGTTTACACATGTACACACATACATTGTAGCATATCCTTTTGAATGATTTATGCATCCATAGTAAAACTATAATTCCAAAACCAAATTGAATCTCAAATTAGGATATATTTTAGAAGTCATCTGGGAAAACCTATCGCTCAGTGTCTGAATTTTTTCCAAAAAAGGATCAATAAATCCTTATAAATTCAACAGTTTCACTTCCAGCATCCTTATTCTGTAGTAGTGTTAAGGACCCTCTTCAGGCTGATGCAAGTCTGCAGTTGAACCTGACATTGTTATGTTAATGTGATATCTTTCCTGAATCATATATGCTCCATCGATAGATCTATGATATAATGAAGAGCATTGATTCTAGGCTTTTCTATGTGTGCTTTTGGCTTTTAACTGGCTTTCTTTCGAATCTCTACTTGCTCTGTGTCTTTCTTTTTTATGTTGCAACATAACAAAAAGTGCTCATGTGTTTCTGTTTGTAGTTGTTCAGTCACTAAGTCGTGTCCAATTCTTTGTGACCCCATGGACTGCAGCACACCAGGCTTCCCTGTCCTTCATTATCTCCTGGACTTTGCTCAAATTCATGTCCCTTGTGTTGGTGATGCCATCTAACCTTGTCATCTGCCCGCCCCCCTTCTCCTCCTGCCTTCAGTCTTTCCCAGCTTCAGGGTCTTTTCCAGTGAGTTGGCTCTTTGCATCAGGTGGCCAAAGTAAAAGTTTATATACTGCACAGTGAAAGCAAAGGACCACATGATGCTGGATATTGTTAGTAAGAAACTTAGGGGGCCTGTTACAGTAAGAACAATATCAAAGGAATGTTGTGTTCCTATAGTTGAAACCATGTAGTGCTTACTCCTATGATAGTAACTTTAATCATAACAAGATCATCATAATTAAATGCTATTGTCACCACTTTTATAAGTCCCCAATATTTTCATGTATTAGGGCCTGGATTTGGCTCCATAATATCTGAGTTAAGTGATAAACCTCTTGATCTTCTCAAAGAAAGAAATAAAACCAACAAAAATAAAATAAAGTATAAAGTATTACTTACACAAAAAATGAAATGGGTTTTCAGTGTAGTTTATTTTTATATGTGTTTGCATAATAGTGCATTATATTTTATTTCAGATACACTGGCCAAGTACAGCACAAAAAACAGAAGAATGCATAATGAAAGGAAATGATGCTGTAAGTATTATTCATTATAAACTAAATATATCATTAATTGTAGTCCTGGTCAGTGACAAAGGATTGAGTCTCTGACCTGTTATTTTTTCCTAAAAAGCATATATGCAATTCATGTAAGGAAGAATACATATCTCTAGATATATACACATATATTATATATACACACATTCAGAAGGTGAAAGAGAAGAGTGAAAAAGCTGGCTTAAAACTCGACATTCAAAAAATGAAGATCACAGCTGCTGCTGCTGCTAAGTCGCATCAGTCATTTCCGACTGTGTGACCCCATAGACGGCAGCCCACCAGGCTTCCCCATCCCTGGGATTCTCCAGGCAAGAACACTGGAGTGGTTGCCATTTCCTTCTCCAATACATGAAAGTGAAAAGTGAAAGTGAAGTCGCTGAGTCGTGTCCAACTCTTCGTGACCCCATGGACTGCAGCCTACCAGGCTCCTCTATCCATGGGATTCTCCAGGCAAGAGTACTGGAGTGGGTCACCAGTGTCCTCTCCTGAAGATCATGGCATCTGGCCCCATTACTTCAGGGCAAATAGGTAAGGAAAAAAGAAAAACAGTGACAGTTTTTATTTTGGGGGGCTCCAAAATCACTGTGGAGGTGACTGCAGCCATGAAATTGAAAGACACTTGCTCCTTGAAAGTAAAGCTATGACAAACCTAGACAGCATATTAAAAAGCAGACATCACTTTGCCATCAAAGTTCCATCTGGTCAAAGCTATGGTTTTTCCAGTACTCATGTACAGATGTGAGAGTTGGATCATCAAGAAGGCTGATTGCCAAAGAATTGATGCTTTTGAACTGTGGTGCTGGAGAAGACTCTTGAGACTCCCTTGGACAGCAGAGATCCAACCAGTCAATCCTAAAGGAAATCAACCCTGAATATTCATTGGAAGAACTGATGGCCGAAGCTGAAGCTCCAAACTTTGGCCACCTGATATGAAGAGGCAACTCATTGGAAAAGACCCTGATGCTGGGAAAGATTGAGGGTAGGAGGAGAAGGAATGGGACAGAGGATCAGATGGTTGGATGGCATCACCTACTCAATGGACATGAGTCTGAGCAAACTCTGGGAGACCGTGAAAGACAGGGAAGCCTGGAATGCTGCAGTCTTATGGGGTTGCAAAGAGACAGACATGACTTAGAGACTGAACGACAATACACACACACACACACACACACACACACACACACACACGACTTCCCAGGTGGCACTAGTGATAAAAAAAAACACGCCTGCCAATGCAGGAGATAAAAGAGATGTGGGTTCAGTCCTTGGGTTCGGAAGTTCCCTTGGAGGAAGGCATGGCAAGCCACTCCAATATTCTTGCCTGGAGAATCCCATAGACAGAGGAGCCTGGGGAGCTACAGTCCATAGTGTTGCAAATAGCTGGTCATGAATGCAGCAACTTAGCACAAACACACACATATACATACATGCATATTTTATATATACATGTTCATTGTCTATGTGTACATAATTAAAAATTATTTTCATTGTGGAGTTAGTGTAGGGAACCAAGGTGCCATCTAGATGCTGTTTTTATTTTCTCTTATATCTTACTATATTTAATCAATTCATATTTATACATTCTTATAGTAATGTTTATTTCCTATGTATTAGAAAAATAATTTCAGGTAGTATCTTAAAGATAAGCTAAGCACCGTCTTTGTGAGATTTCATTTCACTTTGATTAGTGAATTAGAAACGAATGAAGAAGCTGAAGGAGAAAAAACTAAAACCTCGATAGAAGATGGCAAAGGCAATAGACATGCTTTATGTATTCCACGTGTTTTGAGCAGATCGCCTCCTGAAGGAATCAGTATTTCATTTCTCCATAACTTACCTTTAGTGTGTGAAAGGGAAGAGGTGGTGCAGCAGCAGCAGCCCTATTCCACAGTTCTGAGCACGCGAACACAAGAGTGAAAGGACTTTTCAAACATTTTAGGTGTGACCAGCTGATGACACAGTTCACAGCTTTGGAAAAAGCGTACACATCTCCTTTAGAAAGTTAACTTGTTCTTTTTTTCTGTAAGAAAAAAAAAGCAAAAACATGTGAAAAATTAACATACATTCTACCAACACCTCATTCTTGCATAGCAACTGGGTAACAGTCAAGGGATCACTTGCTTCCTCAGTCTGCAGTGTGTTGCTGGCTAACTGAACACATCCAGAGGCTGAGTCAGTCTAAACCTGGCGGAGTCAGAACATGGTCTCATTGGCCCCTCAAGATGTGCCCATTTCAGGGGATGAGAAGCATGTGCTTACAGCAAGATGAGAATAGAACACTAGCTTTTCCCAACTGTGTGGGTCATCCATAGTCTAGGATGCTATGTTAATAGAAAATTAAAGAAATAAATCTTAGTACCCCAAATAATGTGTTCATTAGCGCATTACTTGTTCTTGCCAAGGGAATGTTATAATCTCAGTCATGTATGGTATGATGTTCTGTTGACTTTTTTCATCCCTATACTGTTCCATGAGAGACTTTAAAAATAAGAATCTGTCTTTATAAAGTATCTTTTACTGACTATTGCATCTACTAATGTCAAGGTAATATTTAGCAATAAAAGGGTTTGGTATTTCTCTCATAATTTAAATGCACTGCTGCTGCTGCTAAGTCGCTTCAGTCGAGTCCGACTCTGTGCGACCCCATAGACGGCAGCCCACCAGGCTCCTCTGTCCCTGGGATTAATTTGCCAACAAGGTATTCGCTAAAATTTAGTTAAGTTGGTTTGAAATAGTTTTAGAACGTTTTTTCACTTAGCACACTCACCTAATGATTGATCTGTTAAAACTTTGTTGAGTGTGGGTTGTGTATTAGGTACTGAGTTTGTTTAACTACAGAATATAAGGATGTGCAAAACTGAGGTTCTGTTTTCTGATAAGTTTGCAGTTGAATCCCATTTTAGACAAACTCGAGATCTGAGGCCGAATGTGACCTGCCATAAATGAAGTTTTCTTGGAGCATATCCACATCCATTTATTTTTCTGTTGACAATGGCTGCTTTGTGCTATAGCTGCAGAAGTTAAGTAGTCGCAACAGAGACCAGATGGCCCATCAAACTAAATATATTTACTCTCCGGTTCTGTATAGAAAAAGTTTGCTGATCCCAGGACTGTAATCTTATAGTACTTTATATAAATTTATGAGTTTGAAAATACAGGACTTACTTTTCCAAACATCAGAACTCTTTGTGCCCTGAAGTCTGCATATGTTTCCTTGAGGGTAATGAAACTACTTCTGCTGATTGGTCGTCTGACTTTATGTTGATTTATATGTACTTTAAAAAATAACAGTATTGATAATAATTACCTAGTGAAACATTGCCTTGGAAATCTACACCTGAATACACTTCTGACCAGTGCTTTTAAAAAAAAAACTCTTCAATTGTGTACTAGAATACCTCAAAATGATGCACTCCCGTTATTGATTGTAATTGATACCTCGCTATATCCGTCTGCCCCGACTTTCTGCTGGTCATTGTCCCCTTTTCATCTGCTCCCTTTGCCTTCCCTAACCAAGAGAGGCTTATACATATGATGTCTGGGGTTAGGAAAAACAACAGCCAAAAAAAAGCTAAACAGTTTTTATTACACTAACCAATTCCTTCTTTTTCTCCCGGTTTTAGAATGAATGTGCAAATTATGTTCGGGTTTTGCATCACTATAACAGAACACATCTACTGACCTGCGGGACAGGAGCTTTTGACCCACTCTGTGCCTTCATCAGAGTTGGATACCATTTGGAGGTATGACAGTTTCATTCATTGCTCTGAATGAATTATCAAAAGTCATGCTTAAAATAACTTTGTTTTAAAAGAAAGGTTATGGCATTTCTTTGGATAAAAGAGAAGAGCATTTGTGATCTTCTGAATTAATTTGCTTGAGTGAGAGGCAAAAAGATTTCTTGTCAGTTGGGAAATCTGTGAACCAGTTAATTCTTTATGCATTCCTTCACTGAATTAATTTGTCCAGTTAAAAATATTTTTTAGTATCAAACGGTGTTCTCTATTGTGTTCTTATATGATTTGTATTGGTATAAGCACCAGAGTAGAATGAATGTATTTATATATATATTTGGACATATATGTATATGTATACACACACATGTGTATTTGTAAATAAATTTATATAAGCAAAATTACTACATACAATATCTTTTAAAAGACATGCACAGGCTTGTTGATCCTATAATAACTCCTTTTCTTGGCCAGGTGAGTTAGGAGAGGTGGAGTTGAGGTGGGGGACAGATTGTAAACTGACTTGAGATAAATAATAGTTGATGAGTGCTATCCATGTCTTCCCCTAAGATCCCACCACTAGGTGATATAGTATTATTTAAGCAAATCCCAATTGAATTCTGCTGCTTGCATATATAAAGCAGCAGGCTTGATGATCAGTCATATAACCCGTTTCAACAAACTGGGTAAACTACCAACTCTCGTTTATTTAGGCACATGTCAAGCACTTTAGATCTCAGTTTCACTGTGAAACATACTAAGCAATGTTCTGATGTCAGGATCTGTAACCTTTCCTTGTAATCGGAAGGCAGAATCCTACATCAAGATGGGACCCAGGTGAAACAGAGCTCTGGAATGATCTCTAGTTAAGCAGCTAGACTCTCTCTCTCTCTCTTTTTTAAAAAATTCTAATTCATTTACAGTGTTATGCCAATCTCCACTGTACACGGCACAGTGTCTCAGGTATACACATATAGCACCCTTTTTTAAAAATACTTTTTTCCATATGATTTATCACAGGATATTGAATCTAGTTCCCTGTGCCATACAGTAGGACCTTGTTGTTTATCCATTCTATATGTAATAGTTTACATCTGCTAACCCCGTGACTCTTGGACGTTTGTGAAAAGGCAGCAGTGACTGTAAAGTATTTTCAGCTACCATGTATGAAGAGCAGCATTCATTTCACTGATACTCCTGAAAGATTATTTCTGCTATTCCTGATACTAGTTAACACTCAGGTGCACACATAATTAGCAGTGTCTAGTGCTAGCTCTAAGTACCTCTAGGAAGTGCCCCTGGTTGAAGCACTTCAGCTGATAAGCATCCTTATAGGCAGGATTTTTGATTAACATATTTTAAATGTTAACAAACCACCTCTAGTTGTAGATTAAAGTTAAATAGCATACACAAACACATCACAGTGTATTTACTAAGTTATTTTAGAGTAACAATGCAAGTGATAAAGTGGGAGAACTTAGGCAGAAATATAGAAGGCAAGTGAGGCTAGTGCAAAGTCAGAATATTTATATATATACAAATATACCAAGTATACATATGTATATACATATGCATATATATATATGTATACACACACACACACAAACACATAAATATACATATATACAGTTCAGAATGTAGACAATTTGTGGTGCAGACCTATTGGAAAGAAATCCTTTCAGTTTTCATTTATCTGAAAATGACTTTATTTCATCTTTATTTCTGGAATATATTTTCCCTGAGTATAGAATTTTGGGTTAACAGTATTTCTTTTGTTTCTTTAAGCATCTCAAAAATGCCTCATTGTCACCTAATCTCTTTCTGATGTAAGTTCAGCTTTCATTCATATTGATATCACCCTGTTTGTAATTGCTTTATCTTTCAACAGTTTCTCTTCATCTTTGGTTTTCAGTAGTTTTTTTATACTGTGCCTATGTGTGCGGTGGTGATAGTGGAGAGATGGGTATTTTTATTTCTTGGGATACTTGATAAAAAATTGATATTTTTATTTCTTGGAATACTAAGGTTTTTTCAGATACAGAGTTTATATTTTACACCAAATTTTTGGCCATCATTTTTCCAAATAATACCTCTTCCTCATTCCTTCACTCTTCTTCAGGGACTTATGGAAAGATGAATATAAATAGATAGAAATAGATTGACTTTGGGGCCTTGTCCCACAGATTGCTGAGATTCTCTTCATTCTTATTTAATCTATTTTCCCTCTGTTTTTCAAAGTGGGTAAATACTTTACATTTGTTTTCAAGTTTCAACCCTTTCTTCCAGCATCACCAATATGCTCTTAAGACCACCCCATTAATGGTCCATATAAATAGTGTACTTTTCAGTTCTAGAACTTCCATTTTATATATTTTCCACTTTTGGACTGAGTGCTCCCCCCCATATTTTTATTTAGTATGACTCTTTCTTTTAACCTTTTAACATATTTTAACAGCAGTTTTCAAATCCCTGTGTGCTAATTTTAACATCTGAGTTACTTTAAGGAGAGTTTGCATTGACTCATTTGAAAAGACTGATGCTGGGAAAGATCGAGGGCAGGAGGAAAAGGGGACGACAGAGGATGAGATGGCTGGATGGCATCACCAACTCAATGGACATGAGTTTGGGTAGGCTCTGGGAGTTGATGATGGACAAGGAGGCCTGGCGTGTTGCAGTTAATTGGGTCGCAAAGAGTCAGACACAACTGAGTGACTGAACTGAACTGCACTAACTGGTTTTTCTCTTGATTGTGAATCATGTTTTCTTTTTTTGGCACATACAGTAATTTTTATTTTGTACTGTACATTATAAAATAAATTGTATACTTTAATTCTTGATTCTGAATTCTGTTTCCTTTGAAGCTTTTTGTTCTAGCAGTTTACTTGGCTGGATTCCCGTTCAAAACTGCTTTGCAGTCAACAACCACACATCGCTTTCGTTTCCAGCCACTGCTCTCATGGTCTGCTTCCATATGCAGTTCAGGTGTCAGCTAAGGTCTTGGGAAAGAGTATATTCACATATATCAGGGCACCTCCTTCAGTTTCTAGATATACCTTCCTACTTTTAAGTTGATCTGATACCTTAAATCTATGTCCTATGTCTTTCCAAGCTAGAAGGTCTCCAGCTTTCTGCTTGAGTTCTATCCACTCCTTAATCAGGAATGGAGATTAATTAATCAGGAGATTTTCTTGAATGAAAAACTCTCATCTTTGTCTGCTCTTAACTGATTTCCATTGCCTTCAAATAATTGTTTTTTTTTAACTTAGTCAACATTATTTGTGGAAATTAGTTCAGTACAAACTGTGTCATTAGTAGAAATGAAACTCCATGTAATTCACCTTCATACACATAATGTTGAATATTTTTCTCATATAACTATCTAAATACTAGGTCTGATTAAAAACATATTTTAAAAAAAAATGTATGTTTCAAAAAGGAATATGTGGCAGATGATAATAAGGGCAGTGAGAGATTTATTCCCAAAACTCTATTTGGAGGCTTGATAAAATTTCATATAAGAGAGTGGAAATTACAAATGTTGTAGGCAAGAAAAATGTTTAAAAAATACAAAGATAGCATATAGGGAATAGGTTCATAGACATTAGTTCAGTTGGTTGGGAAACAACAGAAGATAAAACTGGGGCAAATTGGTGGAGGATTTTAATGCTAGACAGTGGCATTCTGTAGTTATTTATAGAAAAAGCATAGAGACAGTGAGCAGTTTGAACAGAGTGTTTGATTGACATGTCATTAGTAATATTTAGGATTGATTCAAGTGGAGAGGGATGAAAGAGAGAAATTAAAGGGAACTGCTATAAGAGTCTTCGTGAGAGATCACGAGGATATTTGAGTGTTGTCACAATAGCAAAGGAAAGGAAGTGTGGGGCTGATGTGAGAAGACACTCAGCAGGAGTTTATATAACTTAACATTTTATCAGATGTTGCTGACAAAAAGGAATCAGAAAGCAATTCCAATTTTATTTCTTGATGATTGGGGAGAAAAACAAAGTCTAATAGCAAGAGAGGACTAAGAAGCTAGAGAACATAAAAAAATACTTAGTGTTTCTCAATTATAACTATTTTATTTCCATGTATAGTTATTTAAAATATTGATGCTGGAGCTAGGATAGCATGTTGTCAGAATAGGTTGAGTTGTTGAACCCTAGGAAGTTAAGGATCCTTGAAGGATTTTCTTTGTCTCTCTCCCCTATTCTCTTTATTTTCTTCTCTCACCTCCCTTCTCTGCAGTCCGCTTTATCCAGGTATTTAACTTGGAAAGTGGCATTTTTTTTTTTATATGAAAGAATGTTTAGGGAATATTAATGAGCAGACTGAGCAGAGCAGTGTAAGGCAAATCAGTTTATTGCAACTAAAATCATTTGTAAAAGGAACAAAATAATAGACAACATCATCAGTGCTACAAGAGAGGGCAGTTTTGGTACACGGATGAGTAATTAGAATGTAGATGAAGAAATGACTGAATAGTGAAAATAAAGGCAGTAATATTGCCAATTTAATCCAGAAATAGAATTGTTAAGGAAAAGAAATATGGAGAAGGATATAAAACTGGAATGTTGATCAGACGTAGAGATCAGACTTGTAATTGCTGGATTGGGTGGGGGGCAGAGGGAAGGATTGGGATTTGGAATTAGCAGATGTAAACTATTATATATAGAAGGGATAAACAACAAGGTCCTACTGTTTAGCAGAGGGAACTATATTCAATGTCATGTGACAAACCACAATGGAAATGGGTTTACTGTATAGCAAATTGAATCACAACATTGTAAATCAACTGTATTTCAATACAACTAAAAACAACAACAACAAAAAGTGGAATGTTGAAAGAAGGGTTTTCTTAGGATAGTAGACAAGGAAACTTATTTATGAACAAGAGGATATGATCATTTCCCTTCTTGGAGATAAGAAGGTTTGGTTAAGGAGCAAGATTGAAAGGAGAGATACTGTCTGCTAATCACTGAGAGATCTCATTAACAGTTGGATATAAA